CGTTTGATGTCCTGGTCATGTCCCTTGCATGCCTTTCAACTCCCCCTTCATGTCCCGGACATTTTCTCGGTATGTCCGCTGTTTTTTTCCATGTATGTCCCGTTCTTTCGTTGCGAGTCATTATCCTACATCTCCCGTCGTGCCGATTGGTTTTCTTGTGCTTTGTTTCCCTTTCATTCCCCCTGCACTCCCCTTGTTTTCATTTCTGTCCCTTGCATGTCCCTTTCAGTTCCCCTTTCAGTTCCCCTTTGTTTCCCTTTCATTTCCCGCTGCTTTCCTGTCATGTCGACTTCCTGTGTCCTTCCCTCATTTCCTTGCACTTCCTTGCATTTCTCCTTTGCTCCCCAATCTTTCCCGCAAAAAAAAACACAGTTTTCCAGCGTTTTCGCAATTAGGATGTCCAAAAACACAGAGTTTTTCAAGATGTTCGGCAAAAGGAGGCAGGAACCCCAAACCAGCAAAGAGCCGGCAGGGGGAATCGAGCCTGGGACCCCTGTTTTGCGGACACGGGGGGAGGAGGGCCCCCCCCCCATATCAGACGTCGGGCGGGGGGGGGGGGGGGTTAGGGGGGGGTTTATCCTTTATCCTCTCTTAGGTGTCCGACACGCCGAGCAATGTCGGCGGATATATATGCTACCCCCCCTAAATTTTATGCTTTGGGGATACAGCGCAAAAAGGTGCCTTAGATTCTACATTGAAACTGGGAAGTTCAATTTTAGTGTTTGATCATAATGTAAATGAAATTTAACAGTGACATAATTCCAGTAGAGTTTCTGGTTTTAACGAACATTTAGATAGGCTTGTTTTAAAAGAAGCGCTTTAATTGGACATATTACAATTCTTCTTTCAACACGAAAGCCTCTTTAGATTCTCTTTAAATTGGAGCATTCTACTAGGAGTATTTCCTTATTAAGTTCAAAAGAAGAAAGGAGGCCGCCTTTAAAGTCTAATTTCACAAACATTCCAATAAAAACCGGTTGTTGGAAAGGAGGTCCTATTTAAATTACCTTTTCAGAATTCTTTGGTACTTGCAGTGTTTTCTGCATTTTTTGGGCTTAGGAGAAAGCAGCAAACAAAGAGCACATGTCCAAGGACAATCTGCAAGCTTCAGGTCAATAACTTTTCCAGCGAATCTTGAATCCAGGCCCGAATGAAATCTTTAGTCGGTTTGGTCTACCTTTGTCCTATATTTAAGCTCAGGTTTGGTCAGAAGATGCCACTCTAAAATGTCTTTCCACCATTCGGAAACGCCCAAGGGGTTTCCATAAAACCCTACAAATGAGTGGAAAACTTTTCTCCGGGAGGGAAAAAGCCGTCCTTCTCCCCTCTCCCTCCTCTCCTTCGACTTCGAACTGCTGGGGCTCTTGCTTGGCCTCCAGCTAGCTGAACTTGAAGCAACAGAGAAGAGTCCGGGAACCGTTTCAACCGTTTCAACTATTTAGTCACCCCTGAGAGGACAGGCCCCCTTCGTTTTCAAGGGGGCCCAAATCGTTTGAAGCTTTTCTGAGAGGAAAGACCCCCCCCAATTATAGGCCGATTAAACCGTTTCAACCGTCTCAGCCCGTTCTGAGAAAGGTCCCCCCACCCCCAAGCGCCAGGGCCCCAAAGCCGTTGAACCCGTTTAAACCGTTTTAGAGCTCTTTGTCAGAGGAAAGCACCGTCTGCAGGGTTCTGACCAAAACCGTTTTAATCGTTTGAGCCGTTTGGACCCTCTCTCGCAAATTATCCCGGCAAGAGACCCCAAATAGTATTGGGGTTAATTTGACGGCGGGTGGCCCGGAAGCATAGAAAGACGTTAAATAAACTCTGACACCTCTCGGACTGCAGGTGAGAAACAAGCGTGAACACATCAATGTCCCTTCGTAGCTTCTGCAAGTTCAAGCTTGGCGCCGCGCTTCGAAAAAAAACTCTTTTGTCAACTTCGCTTGCGCGCTACGCTGGGTTTTGATGCTCCTGCGCGTGAAGCTACGCGTGATGTTGCGCATGATGCTGCGCAGGCATGATGTTGCACACGATGCTGCGTGTGACGTTGCGCACGACGCCGTGCATGATGCTGCGCGTGATGCTATGCGTCACAGTCCCTCTCGCGCATGGTGCTGTGCAACCTCTTTCACCCAACCTTTCATGTCCCTTTCTCTTGTCAACCTCCCTTGTCCAAATCTGCGTGCAGTTTTGACTGCGCAAGAAGGCTGGCGGTTTTAGTTGCAGAAGTGTACTCGGCACACTACGTTTGCGCCTGCAAGTTGCGATGTTCGAGCTGGAGCTGCGAGAGCGCGCTTCGCGCGCTACCTTTGCGCGAAAACACTTACGACTTTGCAGCCGGAGCTGGAGCTGCTGCGGGAACGCACTTCGCGTACAACTTTGGCAGGAGCTGTGGGAACGCGCTTCGCGCACGACTTCTGCACTCAAAAGTTGCGATTTTGCAGCCGGAGCTCTCTGAAAGCTCTTCACGTACCTTTTCACTTAGAACTTGCGAATCTTCAGCCGAAGCGCTGCGGGCGCGCACTTCGTGTGGTAGTTTTAGCCGCGCCTTGGAAATGATGTTTTCCGAAAATTTGAGCACCAGGTCGTTTTTTAGCACCAGAACGGCTTTTAGAACACCAAGGTGGTTTCGCAACACACGTTTTTAGTTTTACGTAGAATGTACGAACGGTTCGCAAACGGTTTGCGAACGGGTTTTGAACGGTTTACAAACGGTACTTCCAACACCGAATCCTAGGCACGGCCCATGTCATGACGCAAAAAAAACCAAAATCGGCGAGCGAGAGCGGGTCCGTTTCGTGCGAAGCTGTCGCCCTGCCATGGCTTTAGAGCTCCGATTGTCCCTGCGTCGTAGCGTGACCCGACAAGAAGATAATACCGCGTGGCGGCCCTGCCATCAAAAAAGGCGCATTTTGCTCTCAAAAAGATGCGTTTGGCACGAGGCGTCCTCAAAAAACACACACACACACACACACCCGCGTCGCAGCGGTTTCATCAAGAGTTCATCGCGAGAACCTCCCAACCGTGGCCCTGCCAGCAAAAAAGCAAAGCGAACGGCACCACAGCGAGACGCACGTGCCAGCGCGAGCCTCCATTTCGTGCGAGACTGTCGCACCGAAAGCAACTTTTTACCCACAAGGCCAGCAATTTGAGCGCGAACCTCGGTCTAAGCCGGCCTCAACTCTTACTGTAAGAATCCCATAGTGCAAACATTATTTGGGGAATGAAACCCCCCCCACGGTTCACCTCAGAGAGGGTTCAAACGTTTCAACCGGTTTAAACGGTTCTGGGCCCAAACCTTTCCTTTAAGAGAGGGTTTAAACGGTTTAAACGGTTTTGGACCCAGAACCTTTCGCTGAGAAAGGGTTTAAACGGCGTAAACGGTTCAATCGTGGGAGTTGGAGAGTCTTCTTCCTTTTACAGAGTGCATCACGGATGAAGACAGACAAAAGGTCGACATGTGGGGCACATATATATATACATATATATACCCAACCTGGGGGACTCAGGAGGTTATTCATCAATTGTTTTGCCCTCAAGTGCATTGCCCGCATCGTGCCCCGCCTGGTTCCCGCTATGCAGCATGCACCAAATGTGTTGTGAACAATGCTGCGGAGAACTTGCAGACTCCAGTCAGAGACTAAGGTCCTTCGGAAGCCTAGAGCCAATTGTCTTGTTTCGCATGAAAACAACGCTTAGTCCCGCAAAGATGTGAAGTTTTGAGCAATGGCACAGTATGCTTGCCAGCGGTTCCTAGCTGTTGAATGGCTTTCACAGGGCCTGCGAGCCTGCACAAACCACAAGGAGCTGATGCATGCAGGCCCTTACTTGGAGATTCCTCATTTCGAGTTGGTGAATTATCGTGCTTTGCCTGAGTACCAAATAAGAAGGTCAAGGTGAAGAAAAAAGGTCCAAGGTGAAACAAAGTCCTGATCCGATGTGTTAGCACTAAGGGCAGCCCACCTTGCGCTCTTTGAGAGAGCGTAAACATGTGTTTTTTTTTGGAGGGGCACCCCTTTTGGGTGGTTTTAACAAAATAAACACCAAGACACCCTCACAGGGTCCTCTCAAAAGGGCTCCCTTAAAAAGAAGACACCCTCCGTCGCCAGGGATGAGGTGTGCAAGGCAGTCTCCAGTCCGAGAACGTCGGACCGCGGGTGAAGGGTGTGGGCTACAGGTTGCCAAGAAAGCGAACGCAGGGTGACAACACACTTTTACTTGGTAGGAATGGGAGCGCTCGGGATTAAGCAAACCATCCGGTACTCTGGAGGTTTGTCCGTGGGACGCAGACAGCAGTTCTATTCTTGAGAGCACCTGAGGTTGGGCTAAGCGAGGATCCCTGTTGTTTCTGCCATGAGGCATTCTAAGGAACCCATAAGGCAGGAGCGACCCATGACGATGCGGGAGGACTTTTCTGCTTTGGCTGTTGCCCAGCTGGCAGAGGGATTTCCGCACTGGCAAAAGGACTCGGGGTGTTGCTTTAGGAGTGAAAACGCCGTCGCATGACATTTCAACAGGTTTGTTGGCCAGGACGTACGCAAGAACTGCACCTTCACCGACCGCCGCTGCGTGGAAAATGCGCACTTCGGCTGAAAAAGTGGGCTGTTTAAAAGGCTGCGGAGGCGCGAGGTGATGGATCATTTGCAGATCATTTCCGCGTATTCCTCTTTTGTTTTTTAGAGAAAGCTTGCCTCACCCGCACTAAAGGCACAAGGATTTTCCAATTGATTCTAGGTCTGCTGGAATAGTGCATTGGTTCCAGATCCAGCGAAGCTCAGTCTGGGATGCTCCTTGCCTTTTCTTTGACACGGGTCGCGCTCACCATTTTTTTCGGGATGCAAGGGTCGGGGTTTAAGTCAAGGGCAAGGATGAATCACAGCATTCAGACGCTCTCTCCTTCAGAGAGACTTTTGTGTCTTGCTGGATGGGAGAGCACAGAGTTACAGAAGGCTGGGGGCGCTCAGAGAGTAGCAAAGGAATCACGCGAGACCCGCCAAAAAACGAAGGGACCGGGACGCATGGGGCTCGGGGGTTGAGCGGCGGTTTCAGGGCGCATTGGCGCTCCAAGAGCCTGTGCTTCGGCGTGGACCAGCCCCCAGACTCCTACCGCCCACTGGACTTGGACGTCGAGTCCGCCGGGGCCCCGGGCTGAGGGCATCTGGAGTTCTCCCGGAGGCCCGGTGTTTCACTGCCTCTTTCAGGTCCGAAGCCAGAGTGGGATCACTCGGGGTTTATCCCCCACTTTGTGGTACAAGGGACTCTCCCGCCTGATATAGGGGGTTAGTCTTTGGGAAACGCTATCGGCTGTATCACAAAAGTTGTCATTTCCCATAGTCCTGCCTGAGACCGTTCAGGTTGCACGCCGCATTCCACGTACCTGCCCTCCCTTGCCTTTTGCCGATCTCGGCACTTGCGACTCACCGATCGGCTTGCTTTTGCTCCAGACGATGCTCCACGTACAACGAAACCCCAGCCACGTGAAACAGACACCAGGTGCCGCGGAGAAGCGCAGTCCCGAGTTCACAGAAAGAAGCGCAGTCCCTATGAACCCCCATATATATATATACATATATATATATATAACCCCCATATATATATATATATATAATTTGCGTCAGTCCCCCTCAAAGGATCAGCCATAGAGACTCCAGGCATTCCCAGCGCACGCACGAAACCCGACTCCGCCCGCTTCGCCGAGGACGAGGACTCCGACTCCGACGAGGAGGAAGAAGATGCCTCCTCAGAGCCCGAGGACATCGGGGAGCTTCTTGGTGACGCCCGTGGGTAAAAGCCGCAGGGTTTAGGGAACAGTTTTCTTGGCTCTCCAGTTTTGCGTTTCAGAACATTTTGATTTTCCATCGATTTCACTGACTGGACATATACCATATTCCCATTTTTCCAGGGGCGTAAGCAAATGGAAGCTCTTCCGTATGGCTTCACGTAAAGCTCGGTTGGGAGTAGCAGTTTTTACAGTAGTTGATGCAAATAGCCAATCTTTACACTCACAGTCAACCCATCCCAAACGAATTCAACCAGCAGAGCCCATCCTCACATATTCCCACACTCAGACTCCAAGCCCGTCCTCATCCCATCCTTCACCAGCCCCGGATTCCAAATCGCCCCTATAGCCAACAAGCTGACATCATTGACTCATAGGGTTTTATTTGCTGTGGTATGGCGGCATGAGGTTCTTGCAGCATTCAATCATTCAATCTCGCCATTTGGAGGCAATCAGCGGCAACATTTGTTTGATCTGGTATTGGATGTTGGCCACACGCTTGGCTGGGCCATGCTCTACAGCCGCTGAATTTGTAGCAGAGAATTCACCAGTTTAGAGAAAGTTAGGAAGAGCAAGCTTCTGTGGATGGGCGATTTCCTGCACCTTGAAACCATTGCATTGGGTTTCTTAGGTGGGGCGACATGGATTTCGCCCATCCACAGTATCATTGCAAGATGACTTAGTTGGAGTCACACACGTCATTTCTTGTTCTGCGGCTTTGGTCATAGACTCGTAAGTTTGAGATCATTGCTCCAAACCTACATCCCACTCGCGGCGCGCGATTTGTTCTGCATCTAAGGTACCCTTCAATTGGTGCTTTGGATTGGGGATGTGAAGCCATGTAGAGGGACTAGCCTTGACCACTAAATCACCGGGCTCCACACCGCCACCCTTTTTTTGGTGGGAAGCTGAGTAGCTCATTGGGCTGGTTTCCTACGCCTTCTTGTAGCCGCGCTGTTCGCGCGGCCCGGCTTTTTGCTTTTGGCTTTCCTTTACATGCCAACAATTCTACCAACCATTTTTAGGGGACCACCATTTTGAGAAAGACCCATTTCCCTGTTTTGGCGTTGCCAGATGTCGTTGCTGAGGGGTCCCGCAAAATGGTGGTATTGCAGGGGGAACAATAGGGAGCCCAAGTTGGCCCACGGAGTTGGTCGCCCGAACGCGGATGGAGGCTTCAAAAGGAGGTCGGCCGGAAGTTGAAAGTGGATCTTCATGCACGGGACACGAACATTTTCGTAGATTTTGGCATCTCCGAACTAACGAGAATACCTACATGTTCAAGCTTGCGACACTGGCATTACATCATTTTTGCGCAAAGTTACCTTCAATCCGTATCCACGCGTTGGAAGTGTCTTCTAACCGTCCTTTGACTCACATTGCTACTGCTTCTGCCATTGCAACTGCCACTGCAACACTGCCACTACTGCTACTGCTACTACTGCTACTGTTGCTGCTGCTACTACGGGCCACTACTGCGAGCAGTAGCATCACTACAATTCCTCCCCCATGTGCTGGATCAAAACACTGGCAAGACACTCCCAGGGCTTTTTTCGTGGAACAGCACCGTTCCCTGGTTGGATCCAATTTTGTGTTGGGTGGCAGTGAAGCGCGGCTCGGAAGTTTGGGTGGCGGAGTTGGAGGCTCACATGGATGATTCTGGGTTAAGAGGCTGCTGAGGGTGATGCAAAGAAACTGCGGAGAGGTTTCTTTCAGCCTGTGCCTGACGGACAAACTGAAACCTCGCTCGTCTTGATGGTAGCCGGCTGCTGCATATATAATATGATATGATATGCTATGACATGATATAATACAATATAGCATGTCTAAAAGTAGCCTATCGGACTGTACTGAGGCCACAGGAGCCTTGGGGTCCCTGGGTGCATGGCATCAGCCCTGGCGTTACTCAATACATATCAGCTGCACAAGAGGAACAAATTACAGGTACTCTATTTTTCTGCTGGGTTGGAGTGGAAGTGGGTGTGGTTCCCCTTTTTCTAGGATTTGGACCCCTCCCAGAATGTGGCAACCCTGGTTTTCCTTTTGATCCCCCTTCACAAAAATCCAACCATGTTTTCGTGGGTTCCCTTAAAAAAGGGATGTGTTTACTCCTGGTGGTTGGAGTAGCGGAAGCCCAGCAACCAGGTTGGAGCGGAAGCCCGGATTGGCCCGAAGCCATGGGACAAAGCCGCGCCCGGCTTTGCTTCTGTTTCCCGCCGGATCTGAGGTTCTCTGCCGATGGGGATCTCGGCTTCCCGGAGCTGGCGCTCCAGTGGAACGCCACGCCGGGGCCCGAGCTCGAGCCTTCGAGCCGGGGGGGGGTTGGGTTGATGGGGCTGGGTGGGCAGACGTTGAGGGACATGGTACTTGATTTCATTGCGGGTTGCATATGGAAATGGAGATTTGCCCCTTGATTGGTATTTATTCTCACTGGGTCAACAGGGGCTGTCTCCCCGTTGAGACCGACCCATTCCCCAGAGTGTTGCCTTCTTTGCTGCGTCTCGGGCTCCGCAGCTTCGCACCTAAGTGACAGTGAGCGAGGGTGCAGGTCTCAGGTCTCCGGGAAAAGACGACAGAGCAGTTGCAGTGTGCATCCGGAATCCGATTTGCATCTCGAAGTCTCGAATGGGTTTGTCGGTGCCCTTGGATGTGTTTGGGCCCGGAATCCGACGGCGAAAAAGCCGCGAGCTTGGCTCGAAAAAGTCGCCATGCCAAAAAGCTATGAGGCCCAGTCGAAAGGCCCAGAGAAGCCTCAGGAGTCGCAAACTCGGCAAAGGGGTTTCAATGGAACCCCCGGGTTCAGGGTGTCGGGCGCCCCCCCCCCCCCCAATCCCGTTTTCGGGCGTGCTCCGGTTCCCGAGGGCTCTGGGGAGATTTCCAAAGGAGGGGACCTCGGCGGTGGTGTTTTTCCAGGGTTTTCAGGATTGGAAGGTGAGTCCCTATTTGTTTTTTCACAAAAATCGGGTGGCCACATGTAAGGACCTTTTATGTAAATGAAGGGACCCTCTAAGCGAAAATCCTTTAATTTTAAAGGGTCAAATGGGAAAACCTGGTTTTTGGGCAAGTTTCGGAAAAATAAAGGTTTTCCAGGGAAAAACCTGGTATTTCACTTACATCCTTTATTTTGGCACTTTTCGCAAGCGAAATGTCGGATGTTTGAAGAACAGAGCAAAGGTGCCGGATCTCGAGCAGGTGTTGAAAGGAGCCGCCAGGTTTCTTTCACTGCCAAATTGTATATTGGGTTTCTAGATGCTTTGTTGGAATCTCTTGTTTCCTTTTGTACCGCCAAGTGCGCGATAGCCCCCTGCTCCTCAAGATTGGAGCTCAAAAGGTAGGGGTAGACGCGAGGGCGTGGTCAGCCCAAACTCAAGAATGAAGCGGGACAACCAGCTTGAATGTACAAGTGTGCAGTTCGCTACATGACCATCAGTAGCTCTGCGTGATTGACACATCATGCTCAAGCATGGTACTTCTTTTGTATTTTTTAAAACATAATGCAGTATCCCAAAGTGGCACTTGCATTTGTTACTCGGCTCGGCGCACAAGCCAAATGCCAACAAAGCTGGCCTCCGCCTAAGTCGCACTTTCTTCCAGCACCCAGAGATTCCTCATAACTTCGATTCGATGGGAAGCACAGTCCAAGCCAAACATGTTGCGTAGTACGTGTTTGTGCCCGAAAACCTTCGGACGTTCTACCGCAATGTCATACAAAACCAGTTCGCTGCTCGCGCAATCTAGTGTGCCGGCTTTTCTTTGCTGGAAAGCTTCTGGAAGGGCGAGCGCGTGCGAAAAAAAAGGAAACCCATAAAAATCCCATACGAATCCCATAAAAATTCCCATACAAACCCATATTTTCCGAAAACCCGGTTTTTCCTAACCCGTACAAAAACCGTACAAATCCCATAAAAATACCGTACAAACCCGTACGCGATTTATGGGATTTTCAGCCTCTGCTTAAACAGCTTTCCAGGCCCAAGTTGCCCGAAATAAGCTTGCAAAGTGACCCTGCGAAAATCAGTCATTCATTTGTTCGTCCCACGCGTTTTTTTTACCACCTGCTGTCCAGTGTTCAAAGTGGGTTATGTTCTTTTGGCTCGCTCCGAAAATGATGTTCCTGCGACGTTTAGACAAGCCTGCGAGAAGCTCCGGGATCAATGCTTTAGCACGGGACTTGGTTGTCAAACAAGTGAGCATTTGCAAGACGGCCCTCCAGACGTATCCGACGCGAGCTTTACGCAAACAGTCCCAAGCAGATTGCTCAGTGCCATACACAATATGTATACACGTGCAGCTAACTGGGACTACTTATTGCCCTTGTCAGAAAGTTCATATTCCAGCGCTGTTTTAAACTTCCCGAGCCACGATCTGGGAAGCCTTCCCAACAAATTGCGGATTGACCATTGTTTCGAGTTCAGCAGGTGATTTACAGGTGCCATGCTCAATGAGCTTGCTTGGATGGGATTGCTAGGCGGCCGTGGGGCGTTTAACTGGATGTAAGAGAGCCAACAAAAGGATTATATTGAGGGAACCACAATCATAACTCACGCAAGACCATTCTGATGACAACGCAAAAAGTCAAAACCCGTTATTTCCTGGAAAAACCTGGGTATTTTGCCATACCTTTAAAATAAACGGGTGTTTGCTTAGAGGGGAGACTCAAATAGAATCACTTTTCTCTTTTTTTCTTTTTAAAATCGGCTCCTTTTTCTTTTTCCTTTTTGTTCTCTTTTTTCGGCTCCTTTTTCTGCCAGGCAGAATGCCTGGGTGGCTGCCGAGGGCGATGCACCGGAACACATTCAGGACAGGGACGCGTCTGTTAAAGGGACGCCAAAAGCAAAACCACCCATTTTGATCCATTTTGCCTATTTTCACCTAGTTGAGCAGAGCATGTGAGTGGTTGTTCCTGACAGGACTGATGTACGTTATTCCGAGGGTGCAATTGAAGGATCTCGGTTGACATCCGAATTGTTCGAGAGCTGTATGCAACCCGGGGGGGGGGGTTGGAGCCGAAGATGACACTTCTAGTCAGGTAACCCCTCAGTTGGTGGTTTGGAGGTTTGGATTCGCATTTGAACTGGTTCTTGATCATAAATCGGATACCACCTACGCACCAAATCACCGACCCACCAAGAATGAAGCTGATCTGCTTGCTGCTCTCACTGCTGTTGGCACCAACTTGCTGCAAGCGCGCTTTCGTGCTTTGGCACGAGCCCCATGTTGTTGCCGCCCGCCGAAACGCCCCAGTAGCAGGGATCCTTTGCATTTGACTGTTCAACATGACGGGCGAGTTTCCAGCTGCTTTTTGGTGTGTGTCCGTGCGCGTGAGAGTTGTTGTGTTGTCTTTTGTGGGGCATCAACGCTAGTTGGGTATCTTCTGTGGCTTGCGGAAGGTTTTTATCATGTCAACGTCGTTTTGTGCTGTTTTGGCGCCACATGGCTTTTTGTCCAGTGGCCATCCCCCAACCAACATACTTCCAAGATGAGGCAGGCTTTGTTCCATGCCCTTTCAACTCAACAGGTTTTAGACCCCGACCCGGGCAGAAACCGCCGCATGACGCTTCTCGCAGGACTGCCTTGAGCAGGTGCGCGGGGCTTCTGAGCAGCAGGTGGCTTACCCCCTTTTCCACCTTTGGCACGAATCCTGTTAGGAAGGAATGGGGACCACTGAAATGGAATGGTCTGCTTTTACGAACCAGAAGTTGGAGTTGTGAAACAAACCCAAGTGGGTGCTCCTCCGGATCTGCTGGAAAAACCATTCGAGGGGGTTGCCCCAGCTTCCCTCCAATTGGTGGCAACCCAAACCATCAATCCAAGCCACCATGTAGGGGTTACCCGAGTTGTTTGTTCAAATCCAACTTTGACTTCAGGGTGCACCCAAGTTCGTGAAACGGCGTTGCCTATTTGTCTGAGTCGATATTGTCTTGGAGTGGTCAGCGGATGTTTGACTTTCTCTTCGAG